AAAAGGGATACAAAGTTTTTGCTTCACGTATTAATATATAGAAGATGTACACAGAGAGAAGATTACTTTGAGAACGCATTCAATTCTGATCCTACGCGTAATCGCTTGAAGGTGTCATTTCAATTACAGCTACCTGCCTAGCTGTCAAACGCAGATATTATTATACGGATTTGATTGCTAAGCTTCAACCTACGTTTTTATGGAAAAAATAATAGCAAAGTAGGAAAACATTCATCTATTCATGTATGTTATACCTTTAAACGAGCAATTCTTGTATATTAATATACAAAATCTGAATCTCGGTAACGGCTCCAACGATTTTCATAAAATTTAGTATACAGGGGATTTCGGGGGCGATAAATCGATCTAGCTACGATTTATTTTCAGAAAATGTTGTTTTATTCGTGTTTTCAATAATCAACTCTTCCCGACATCTATTGGCGAATAATAATACTATTTTTCTTAATTGAGGGCAACTAACCGCTTTAAGGACACAACAAGATGGCGTTATCAAAACAAACCGAGCAAAGCTCGGTCATCGTCTAGTGTATTAATTATACGCTGTCGACTTAGGTAGCTAAATTATGTATGTTATTTTGTTTTTACCGATTTCAAAAAAGGAGGAGGTTTTCGATTCGACTGACTTTTTTTTTAGGTTTTCTCATTTCATTTAATTGAAGTCGTATTTTTTTATGAAAATTCTGTTTTATCATTATAAGATTGGGTTTTAACAATAAAATACCCTATCACGCACTTTCAAAGTTCAATATACTTTGATAGCAACATAATCAGGTAATAACATTTAAAAAAAAATTAAAGGAAACGCCTGTATTTTTCAAATAAAATACGTACTCAACAAATGTTCACGATTGACTTCCACGGTGAAGGAATAGCATCGTGTAATAAAAATCAAATCCGCAAAATTATAATTTGCGTAATTACTGGTGGTAGGACTTCTTGTGAGTTCGCGCGGGTAGGTACCACCACGCTGACTACTTCTGCCGTGAAGCAGTAATGTATTTCGGTTTGAAGGGTGGGGCATCTGTTGTAACTATATTTGAGACCTTAGAACTTATATCTCTAGGTGGGTGGCGCATTTATGTCGTAGAAGAGAAGTCTATGGGCTTCAGTAACCCCTTAATACCAGGTGGGCTGTGAGCTCGTCCACCCATTTAAGTAAAAATAAATAAATTAGTGCTATGCTAATAATGTTATATTTGAAGGTACTTCCTTCTCAATTTAAGTTCATAAATTGTTTGACCTACTGAGGCCCACTTACCCTGTGAAGTTATTTAAGGCATTTACTAACTCAATGTGTGCCTTGCGGAACGTGATCCGAAATCATATACCTTGTTATGGGTTAAAGGCTAGTCACATTTGAGGGGCGATTTGAATTTTTAAAGCCCGCCATAATATTTAGTAGCGTTCATAGATAATACACATAAATTAGTTAGAGATAAGCAACGCAAGCACCCAAACACAAAAACGTTTACGGGCGTCGACCGCTAGATGGCTTCGCTTCGATTAGTTTCTCATTGCTCCTGTAGATGGCAGTAACATATTACCTATATTATTATGCAGTAACATATTACCTATCATTCTAAATTTTTTAATGAAGGATTTTGTAAATTTTCATAAACCACTAACTGATAAAATTTTATCGGTTAGTCTATAACAAATAAAGACTTGTATGATTTATTATTTTTTTTATTTTCTGTGTTTAGCTATACAATATGATGTCACCTATAATTGAGGTGACATCTGCCATGAACTTTTGTTAATTGTTCAATGTTTTTTATTGATGATCACTTTGTTAGTGCAACTTAATAAATAAATAAATAAATAAATAAATGCCGAAGCTTTAACAACATAAAAGTTTAAAGGCATCCGCTACAAGATGTCGCTAGTTTCCGCACAAAAAAGTTTTTGTCTTAAAGTATTGCCATTTCCGGGACCCCGGTAGCGTTAATATCACAAATGGTAATATTCTGTCTTTTATATTTACTTATTGAAAAGCAATCCCTGAGATTTCCTTGGGTGGAAAAGCTCAAGATTATCTGACTTGGTTACAAGTACAGAGCTTTCTATCCACGGGAATATCTCTCTGGTCACATATCAGTATTTAAGATAAGCCTTGTGCGGACCACACACAGCGGAAGGACGAGCCGGTATAATCTAATAATATATATAATTCACATGATATGGTGTTTGTCCAAGATGAATTTCAAAACTATTCATGTATAAAAAATTTAAGCTCTTTTCTAAATGTGTGCTTCATTCCAATTTGAAATATTTTTTTAGGGTTTTCCTGCTTAGGCTAGTAACCTCGAGGAGTTATTCTAGATTCGCCGAATTAGTAGGTGAGCTCACGAGGCTGAAACTTGACGACGTTGCTAACACAAACCCTAGCTAGAGCCGTGCTTCGCAGAATCTACCACCGGATCGGAAACGCGACCCACTGAGAAGATCCGGCGAGAAACTGAGTGGGCTGTGTCTGTGGGTTAATTCACTCTTTGAGCCTTTCATCGCAAGCGACGAGGACGATCACCGGTGTTTTGATACGTACCAGAGTTAATATTATCAGTGAACTCTATAAACTCTCAACAGATGGCGCTGTAATCAAAATATAAGCGCTTCATTTATAATACTAAAATTTGTAAATATTTATATATAGATGTATACGGTAGGCAGCTGTATCCCTGGCATTTCTGACGTACATGAGCGATGATAGCCACTCACCATCAGCTAGTTGTGCACGTCTGTCTACAAAGGATTTTTTTTAAATAACTATTATTGATTATCCACTATTCGTGTCTAAGCCGTAATGGCTGGCGCTCTAGGGAAGGTTTTTGTAAAAATACCATCAAAGTACAATAGATGGCGCGTGTTTAATATAAAAAATCGATTTTTTTTTTTTATAAAATCAGCTACATTCCCAACAATACGTTATCGGATTTGATATAAAATTGACCATGATCTAAAATCTTCTACGGGATTGTACATTCAAAACAAATTTCCGGCGAATAAAAATCCGTCATTTCATTATTTCATATGTCCCATGGCATTTTAAGAACGTCAAAAGGAGAAACAAACTGGTGGGAGGACCTCTTGTGAGTCCGCGCGGGTAGGTACCACGACCCTGCCTATTTCTGCCGTGAAGCAGTAATGCGTTTCGGCTTGAAGGGTGGGACAGCCGTTGTAACTATACTTGAGTCCTTAGAACTTATCTCAAGGTGGGTGGCGCATTGACGTTGTAGATGTCTATGGGCTCCAGTAACCACTTAACACCAGGTGGGTTGTGAGCTATAATACACATTCGTAGCTTGAGTTTATGTACTAACGCATTCAAAGTTATCTTCTTGATATAACCTTGTGATACATTTACGGATATGGATATTGTTATGAACCGTGTAACAAGATATGACTGTGTGAAGTTAGTTAACAAACATCCGACGTGAAGTTTGTGGAAGTCCTTAAACAAATATATTTAGTCATGATCTTTGGTATATAATTTCCTCAATTAATTGTAAGCGAAGTAAATTGTCCCTTCGTAATAAGGTGACACTCAACAAAACTTGCATACCTACGCCCCGTCATGACCTATGCAAGTGTAGTGTTCGCTCACGCGGCCCGCACCAACTTGAAACCCCTTCAAGTTATTCAATCCCGTTTTTGCAGGATAGCCATAGATTTTTTACTGGTGGTAGGACCTCTTGTGAGTCCGCACGGGTAGGTACCACCACCCTGCCTATTTCTGCCGTGAAGCAGTAATGCGTTTCGGTTTGAAGGGTGGGGCAGCCGTTGTAACTATAATTGAGACCTTAGAACTTATATCTCAAGGTGGGTGGCGCATTTACGTTGTAGATGTCTATGGGCTCCAGTAACCACTTAACACCAGGTGGGCTGTGAGCTCGTCCACTCATCTAAGCAATAAAAAAAATAAAAAAGCCATCGGAGCAGCGTGGTTCCTAAGGAACGTGGATCTCCATGATGACCTGGAGCTTGACTCAGTCAGTAAGTATTTATAATAGTCATCATTGCGCCACTTTAGGAAGGCGGCACGACACGGAAACCCTCTTGTCGTGGCCGCCGGAAATTACGTACCCGATCCTGTGGATCGAATGTAAACAGTCGACGTCGCCCTAAGCACGTCATTACGGATCCTCCCGATCCACTAACGGTGCTTTTTGGTACCTCAAGCACCGGTCACCGTCCTCGTCGAACCCGTCGCTTGCGGCGAAGGCTCGACGAGTAAATTAACTAAAGACACAGCCCACTGAGTTTCTCGCCGGATCTTCTCAGTGGGTCGCGTTTCCGATCCGGTGGTAGATTCTGCAAAGCACTGCTCTTGCTATGGCCAGTGTTAGTAACACTCCGGTTTGAGCCCCGTAAGCTCACCTACTCGTCAAGAAGCAATGATCATATTACATCAAGTCGATTTCACTCTCGACTGCTTACAAAAGAAAAAAGTATATTACAGAAGCTAAAAAAATATCTGATGCACTTTCCCACGAAGTGCGTGTAGTCCTTAACCCGTGACGTCATGTACCATACGTCTGTTACCATCGATGCGATGCCGATGTGTTTTCCAGAGTATAATGACATTAACTTCAAAACGGCAAGAGCCCGCCCGCATACATTACGGCGAGCTTTCCCGGTAATTTTATGTAGAGCTTTCGTGAATTTATATTATGGTTTTATGTCGTGGTTGGCTTTTCATGAGTTTTTTTTTTAGCGTCGTCATTAAATTATTGTGTATTTTTGGGCTGTCGATTTTTTTCCGAAACTAGGTTATGAGTCTTTTGAAATGCATGAAATGAAAAATCATTCACGAAATCATAATATGAAATCAACTTGTGTGAAGAAAAACGTATATGACGGGGATTTTTTGCTGAATTTACTAACTGAAAATAAGGTGAGTGGTTATTGTCGCCCAAGGACATCAGCAATGTGAATGCCGCTTAAACCAAATACCCTTTCACCAGTCGATATGTACTTACACAAGACATTGATGGTGTGAGTGGCGATCACGTTTTCCGTCAGCTGAGCGTTGATGCCGTGGCACACCACTACTATTGACCTTCTATTCGGTTCCACTATCACGGTTATGTTGGACGAGGTAATCCAGCCACCTGTTTAAGAAAATAATCATTAAAATAAATTATAGTTTAAAAAAACTAAAACTAAAAAGTACGTATTTATAAAAAATCCAACAAAAAAATAGAAACTAAATTTTAATATATTTGAATTAAAAATAGTGTAAGAAAAAATGATTTTATTGTAAAAAAAAGCGTGGCGTGTTTTTTAGGATACTATCAAAATAACCCTTCTACTCATATCTGTTCATAAAATATTTATAACTAATGATAGCATGCACCCCACGCTTTCTTCTTTAAATTCAAATATATTAAACTTTATTTTCTATTTTTTGTTGGATTTGATATAAAAGCGTATTTTTTTAGTTTTTTTAAACTATTATTTATTTTTCATTTTTTAGTTGAATTTAAATTTTTTTTAATATCGAATTGTCATCGTTCCATAATAAGTATACCAAATTTCGAGTTAATCCAACGTTTTGAAGGGGATCAGAATCATGTTCAAAGATTCCGTTACAAACATACATACATACGTCTGAAGCTAATAAAAGCGTATTAATTACACATTTCTCGGCAGGGAACTGCGATTAATGCTCAGTAGTGGAACACTGGTTTACTTCCTAGCACACGACAGCAGGAATTAAGCAGTTGCCCCCCTAAAATGGCTCACCTTCTGGAGAAATAACGGTTCTGTTACTAGCTTCTTTATGGTGCTTCCCTATGACCAGCCACTTGATCTCAGCAGCTGGATTCGAAGGAGCTGTACTGCAGGTCAGGGGAACTGGGTCGCCGACTCTCGCTTCAGAGGGTCCAGATATAGTGACGTGGGCAGGAGCAACTGAAATAAAAGATAATATTAGACGTTGGTCAAGCTGTAGAAGACAGCTCAATAGCTCATAAACAATCAATGAGTATTGTATTTCATATATATAATATATATATATTTTTCTTGTTTAGATGGGTGGACGAGCTCACAGCCCACCTAGTGTTAAGTGGTTACTGGAGCCCATAGACATCTATAACGTAAATGCGCCACCCACCTTGAGATATAAGTTCTAAGGTCTCAAGTATGGTTACAACGGCTGCCCCACCCTTCGAGCCGAAACGCATTACTGCTTCACGGCAGAAATAGACAGGGTGGTGGTACCTACCCGTGCGGACTCACAAGAGGTCCTACCATCAGTATTGGTAACTAGTAACTAGATAAATGAATTTATTATTTTCTTCAACTATCTTATTTTTTAATAGGATTGATTGTTAGAGATCACTTACTATAAACTTGTCCTGATAATTATTGTCATACAAATATCCAATTTATATTAATATTACGCTATTCATATTTTTTGGTGTACAATCAATTTAATTTAAATTAGTGTTTTACATTTATAATAAACTAACGGCCCACTTCGGCATCGCTAGGGTCTTAACAAAAATTTCATAATAAAAAAAAAATACACACACACATCAACCCTTCTATTTGCTTCAAAAAAAGAAAATTATAAGGATAGTTTGAATATTATTATTTTAATGAATATTTTAGGTATTTTTTTTACACCTTGGATCACATTATTGGATTTTTAGGAAGGATTCATAATTAAAAAAAAATGAATATAGCTTATGTCACTCGGGGATAGTGTAGCTTCCGAACAGTGAAAGAATTTTTCAAATCGGTTCAGTAGTTTCGGAGCCTATTCAAAACAAACAAACAAATCTTTCCTCTTTATAATATTAAGTATATTTTAATGAATATTTTAGGTATTTTTTCTACACCTTGGATCACATTATTGGATTTTTAGTAAGGATCCATAATTTTAAAAAAAATAATGAATGTAGCCTATATCACTCGGGGATAGTGTAGCTTCCAAACAGTGAAAGAATTTTTCAAATCGGTTCAGTAGTTTCGGAGCCAATTCAATACAAACAAACAAATCTGTCCACTTTATAATATTAGTATAGAAGTATAGAATGATATTAAAATCAGTTTACTCGTAGTTGCTTGCCCTACGTATCTTGAAGTTATATTAATGTAATTGAGTCCTCGTGCGCTCCATAAGCATAATTGCAAAAGTTTAATGTTAATTAAATTAACGTGTATGTTGTAATGATACCTATTACAGTTAAGATAAGGTTAATTTTATTAAATCAACTCGAAGTTTAGTAATTCTGAAATGGATTATCTGTTTCAGCTAAATTATTTTGGGCTGCCGTGTGAGGAAATCAAATTACATTATTTTAAAATTGGATTAAATTACTTATTGTGAATAATACGTAGCAATAAGAACTTGAACAATAAGAATTGTAATCAACAAATTAAAGAGCGGACGGTTAGCGTGGTATGGACATGTGATGCGTAGAGAGAAGATGCATGTGACTAGGAGATGCATGGAAATGGTAGTGCAAGGTAGAGGGGGCAGAGGTCGAGCGAAGAAGACATTGATGGAGTGTGTAAATGACGATATGAGAGAGAGAGAGAAGTAAGTATTGAGATGAAGACTGACAGAAGAGAACGGAAGAGAAACATTAGCTGTGCCGACCCCACCTAGTGGGATAAGTTGGAGGAAAAAAAAACATTTTTTTACGTCAACCTGAATATCTTTTTAGCCTTTTTTAGTAGCTCTGGTCATGGTCACCGTCGTCCATATAAATTAGAAATAGCCTGATGCACATTGCCAAAATGATTATGTATGTGTATTGATGATATTAGTATATTATTAGTATAATATGATCTTACAGTTTGTTTCGGCTTCAAATGACCTCAAACGATCTGACCATATGATTGGCTCTTGACTATCGTCGATAATACAGCTATTTACAAATAACACAGACATAGAATGATCATGGTATATAGAACAGCCTTTTCACATTGATCTCCTCGCGATATTGTCCAGTGTTCCGTAATTTTTATTTTCAAAAGCGGTCTTAGTGTTTTATAGACAAAAATCTGTCTGGTACTTCTCATTATCACGAATGAAAGCTATTTAAATTAAGTTAGCTCAATTACCTTCAACGAGAAAATTTTCTTCCCCCTTACAAAATTGTATACAATTTCTTAACATATTCTTAAAATAATCGTATTCTTAGGAAATTTTGATGTTCGTTTGATACAGAAAGTACTTTTGGGTCACGCACACCGGGCTCTGCTGGATTATTTTGTAGGTAAGGTTGTCTCGAGGACATTCAACGTCAAACGAGTCCTTGTGTGTTAAACGTAAGCAAATAACTTCTGAGAATCCTTCAAGAATTTCATAAAGCAACGTTTGGGAAATTCATTCTTGAAATTATTCTGTGATAGTGTGTGTGTTATTTGCGAATGTACGTGCTCATAATATGTTTTTATACTAAGCGAATTGGTTTTTTCCATTTATTATATTTTCCTTTGTATAGTACGCAGTATTACAGCCCTAATAATATAATCACAATCAACATAAACTAAGACTAAGCGGAGAAAATAAAATTAAAGTATTACAGAATTTGCTGACTAAGTTTTTTTTGTGGTCATAGGTTAACAAAGATTAATAGGTTAATATTAATAAAACTATCACTATGTCCTGCTAGTAAAGCGTACAAATATTAGGCCTAAGTATAATCTACATTAAAATATTAAACTTAAATTATAATTATTTAACTCTATTCTACTTTATCATCTAAATCATCTAATGTTATCGTCTAAATATTCTGACATACCTAGTATAGTAAGCCTTATCTAATACTTGCAATTTTTGCTTAAAATCTTGTAAATCTACTGTCTTCAAAATTTTTATACTTCTAGTAGTACTAGTAGTAGTAATTCAAAAAACATAGTATAGTGTTGTCACAGTTGATTATTAAAATACTAGAAATCATTTGCGGTTGTAGTGGATTCATGATAAAACAAGTAAAGCAATAGAAAAGTCACATTATCTAATTAATAGTCTAAGCACGATTTACTGGTGGTAGGACCTCTTGTGAGTCTGCGCGGGTAGGTACCACCACCCTACCTATTTCTGCCGTGAAGCAGTAATGCGTTTCGGCTTGAAGGGCGGGGCAGCCGTTGTAACTATACTGAGACCTTAGAACTTATATCTCAAGGTGGGTGGCGCATTTACGTTGTAGATGTGTATGGGCTTCAGTAACCACTTAACACCAGGTGGGCTGTGAGCTCGTCCACCCGCCTAAGCAATAAAAAATAAATAAAAAAAAGTATGTAGTGAAAGCTTCAGTCATATCTGCGAATCGTGAAGTACCCAAGTTACTGTTGGTTTAGTAAATTACATGTATTGTCTAGCAGCACGGGTCCCTGTTTGTTAGTTTTTAAATTGTATTATACTAGTACATTCTACAAAGGGCGCTTATCCAAGATATTATAGACGTCCATACTAATAAGATAATGCTACCTTTTTTTTGTTGTTGCTTTGTTGGGTGGACGAGCTCACAGCCCACCTGATGTTAAGTGGTTACTGGAGCCCATAGACATCTACAACGTAAATGCGCCACCCACCTTGAGATATAAGTTCTAAGGTCTCAGTGTAGTTACAACGGCTGCCCCACCCTTCAAACCGAAACGCATTACTGCTTCACGGCTGAAATAGGCAGGGTGGTGGTACCTACCCGCGCGGACTCACAAGGTTTACTATTACCAGTAATAAGGTTTCGACTTAAGGCTATGATTTTTACGGGTTGCGGTCAAGAGGTCCTACCACCAGTAAAAGCCAGTACTTCGTGGCCTAGCAGCTTAAGACCTGTCTCTCGTGATCAAATTAAATTCAAGGTTTTCCGAACACATGATTGCACCACCTTTTGGCTTTGAATACCAGATTCCGAAAACACAAATCCAAATTTGCTCAGCATGAACCACATTACGTACTTTTGAGAATAATGTTATTTGACTTTTATTGATGTACCGTATATTTTAGCATCATCTTTTGATTCAAGTTACTATGTTTCTATAATTTTCTATATTATTTCAATTGCTAGCACATTCCAACTGACTTATACAGCAAAAATGTTTGAAAATTAAAATAACACCACCGTGAACCGTTTCAAATTCAATGTAAAATCTCTCTGTAGTCTCGTCATGTTTTTTCACTTGATAAGACCAAAGGTTTTCATATAATACTTGTTACCAGGAAACATTTGAATCACCAAATATTGTTAAGTAATTGAAAGCTTATGCAAACTTTCCGTTGGTTCTATTAAAGTTTCCTTCACAACTTTACAACAATTACAAGGACGGTTAATACATACAACGGTTTATTTAGACGACAACATTGTAGCTATGAGCTTACTTGAAACCTATGAATTTTGGCATGTTGAAAATATTAAATTCATTGGTGTTCTTTCAAACGTCGATATTTTGAGTTAATTTTAAAATACACATCATGCTATGAGTAATTTTACCGAATTGTAATGCATTATTTGTATACAGTCAAAACTGCAATGTGTCGATAACATACAATGCGAAATCACCGTTCCCAAAGATTTAAACATAGTCTCGGGCAAATAGTCTTCGTTGTTTATATAGAGACAATGTCGATCCCTTGAACTGTAGACGCACCAACTGAACTGTAATCTCGAATTTCATCCCGGACATAAAATAATACGCATCAATAGTCAAACAGGTTTCGGAAAAAATTCGGTACGGCTTAGGTTTTCTTCATGCATTTTGGATTTCTCTAGTCGATATATTTATTGTAAACTGTCTTGGGATTGATCTCCTGCATTAACTATAGGGGATATTGAGTTCATATACCTATCTACATTAGAAAAAATAATCCTTTGTGACTTTAGATTTTCAAAGACATGTTGACTGGTTTTACCAGTATTTTAACTCACTAGCATTTCCAATTTCATGTCATACAAAAATAGCTTTTATATTCATACTCACAGAGCACAGTCAGGTCGATCTCAGCCTTCAGCGTGTTGCTGATCATGATATTCTTGGCTTCACAACTGTAACGCGCTTTGTTATCAGACGCATCGGCCGTGAAGGAGAGCACGTTTTCAGACATCCTTCCACTAGTTCTGAAACAAAATAAATAATGAAACAATTAAATTCATTAGTTGGTAGATTCAATTCTTAGGTTTTTTATTGCTTATTTGTGTGGTCGAGCTCACAGCCCACCTGGTGTTAAGTGGTTACTGGAGCCCATAGACATCTACAACGTAAATGCGCTACCCACCTTGAGATATAAGCTCTAAGATCTCAAGTATAGTTACAGCGGCTGCCCCACCCTTCAAACCGAAACGCATTATTGCGTTACGGCAGAAATAGGCCGGGTGGTGGTATCTACCCGTACGGACTCACAAGAGGTCCTACCACCAGTAATTACGCAAATTGTAATTTTGCGGATTTGATTTTTATTACACGATGTTAAAAATAGACGTGGATAACCACTATTTATTTACATTTAAGCTTTCAATGGCTACAAAATCCCCTAATTCCTCTGTTTTATTATGTAATTACCGCAACCCGTAAAAATCATAGCCCTAAGTCGAAACCTATTTTATTATACTATTATTTTTATTTCTGCGTTGAACAAAAATTGACTGGTAAAACAAATCACAATTTAATATCATTTATATAAAATTCAAAACTTTGAAAGATCAAATGGAGCCAGCGTCATTGAAAGGGCTGCACAGTCAAACTCAAACTTAAAAACAATCCACAAAGAACAAAGTTTGACTTACTATAGGGATTAGCCGAATAAAAATTGAGTTTATCGATACGATTTATTTGAAACATTCCGGGTGCGATACATAATAGTTCAGTTCTAAAATTCCATTTAAAGATGAGCGTTATGTAAACAGATTTAAACATACAAGTTGTGAATAAGAGTTAATTGAACAGAGCATATTGTATAATTTATAGTCTCCTAGTACAGGCATGCACACTTAAAAGGAAACTCCAATCAACGTATTGTTTTGACTCGTGTTTGAAAATAAAGAATTTTTGTATTTTTGTATAGAAAAGTATCAAACACGCACGGATAATAACTTTGGTGTAATTCTGGAGAGTACCACTTTGGGTCTGAGTGTTAGACAACCATAATATAATAATCTTGTAAAAAAACTAATTAATAATTAAACCTATTTACATTCTTTAAATGGAAATATTAATTAATACCTTTAAATAAAAAAAATATTTTAATCATAGTGAATTATTTCCCTTTCTCTATATGTTGTGTTATGCATTAATTTACATAATATTATTATGTCATCGATATTGACGTCATAATATCGTGAACAATGCTAAAAGTTCATTTCGTGTATTTGTAAATACAATAGTAATGTTTGACCAAAATAAAACTTTATATCGATGGGGATAAGGTTAATTTTGCTTCAAAAATTCGTGTTACACTAATTAACATTTTCAATTTTATTGCTTTAAAGTCGATAACTTTTATCGATGTTTTCCCCTCTTTTTTTTTCCAGCACACCGATAAAAGGGAGAGTGACGCTCTTGAATTCATAATTACATTTTTAGTTCAGGGTTCGAATGAGTTTCCGAATCATTTTTAAGAACAAAAGATCGCTTTTCGTCTTATAATTTTTTTTTAATTGTTTTAATGACAGACACTTGGCTTAATTAATTTCACAGTTAATTATAGCATGCTTAATCTGGTTCGCGACGTGATTAAGTCAGTTTAATGGTTTTTGATCTTGGGTTTATTTTACGGATATATTTATTTCAGATGTTACGAATAGTTAGATATTTCAATTCCATGGAACGTATAAGAGGTATCTGAATGGGAAATTCTACTTAGCCAGTCTCATACAGGCCTGTAACTGTAAAGCAGTTTTGCGTCCTGGTTTGAGGTTACAACGACCGTAGGATCGATTAGGGTTTGAAACTTTTGTCCAAAAAGAAGGGGGATTTGACTTCATTTAAAATCAAGCGATAGGCAAGTTTAGCTAATTAATAAATTACACGTGAAAATGTGTGCCAGGATTATTCTCTGTGTTTGATATCAAAATATTTCACTGGCGGTGCGATTTATTTTTGACGTCAGGTAATCATTTTGGTTTGAAGGTATGTTCTGTTACACGGTACAATTGAAATTTCGATCTCATTTCTCGAGGTAGGTGGCGGCTTTGACGCTGTGATACAATGGCTACGGTAGTCACTTCGCGCTGGGTGGGCCAAGAGGTAGTGCGTCCGTTCACGCAAAAAAATATATATAAAGAACTAGCTGACCCGGCAGACTTCGCAGTGCCTCAATCGATAAATAAAAGACCCAAACTTTTGTATAAAATAAACTTAAAACAAACAAAAGGAATTCGTCCGACGGGGGACACATCAAAGGAACAAAATTGTTATTTTTATTTAATTCCGAGCATTTTCATATTTATCTACCTTCCTTTTATCTATTCTATTCTATCCTTTTATTTCTCTGGACTTCCACAAGTAATTCAAGAAGACCAAAATTAGCCAAATCGGTCCAGCCGTTCTCGAGTTTTAGCGAGACTAACGAACAGCAATTCATTTTTATATATTATGTAGATTAAAATGATCACTTCAAACTATTCTTCAACATCTTAGAATTTTTTTACCAAGATTATACTGGGAATAAAACTTTCGTTAAGAAACTCTTAAACCTAGGTCCCCCTAGACTTGAATATTACAAAATCTGAAAGCTTTTAAGTAGTTTGAAAGCTCCGATGCTGTGCTCATTATGATTTTATGGAAAATACTACAAACTTTTGGCGGGGGCGATTTTTAAATGGAACATTTTAACGAACTTGAGACATGAGTCCGAAGACTTCAACAACATTANGAATAAAACTTTCGTTAAGAAACTCTTAAACCTAGGTCCCCCTAGACTTGAATATTACAAAATCTGAAAGCTTTTAAGTAGTTTGAAAGCTCCGATGCTGTGCTCATTATGATTTTATGGAAAATACTACAAACTTTTGGCGGGGGCGATTTTTAAATGGAACATTTTAACGAACTTGAGACATGAGTCCGAAGACTTCAACAACATTAACGCGACCTGCAAATAACAAAAAAAAACTAGAGTAAGTATCTCTCTAAAAGGCGTATTGGTCTTTGGACAATGTTACTATTTTTTTATTGCTTTGATGAGTGAACGAGCTCACAGCCGACCTGGTGTTAAGTGGTTAATGGAGCTCATAGACATTTATAACGTAAATGCCACCCACTCACCTTGAGTTATAAGTTTTAAGGTCTCAGTAGACTTACAACGGCTGCCCCTCCCTTCAAACCGAAATGCATTACTGCTTCACGGCAGAAATCGGCAGGGTGGTGGTACCTACCCGTGCGGACTCACAAGAGGTCCTACCATCAGTAATTACGCAAATTATAATTTTGAAAGTTTCATTTTTATTACACGATGTTATTCCTTCGCCGTAGAAGTCAATCGTGAACATTTGTTAAGTACGTATTTCATTAGAAAAATTGGTACCCGCCTGCGGGAATCGATCACCGGTGCATCACTAGATATGAATGCACCGGACGTCTTATCTTTTAGGCCACGACGACTTCATGTCTCATGTCGCATGAGACTACAGCTTAGAAAATGTTATCCTTATGGTTTTTAAGTCGTAAGCATCCATTAGGGAAATATCTTTGGGAGCTTCATCCCAAATTAGGGATATTTAAGTCCATTTACAAAGTTATTTTCACGGAAATTCATAAACCGACTTCTGGTTACAAATAAATGTAGATATTACGTAAAAATCTCCTTTGGGTTTTGTAAGGGCTGTCTCACTCTTCAAACAGCATCGCGTGATTGCATTGCAACAGAAACTAAAGCGATAAAAAGCTTTGTGCGTAAAGCTTTAAAGTCATACGTGACTGTATCCATTGAAGCATTGTTACATCACACCACAAACCCATTTTCCATCGACACTGTAATCCGATCCCGTGGGAGGTTCGATGACCACAAAAGTTGACCGCGACTTGTTCTTCTATCAATTGAGTATTGTGGGAGTTTTCTAAACATACAAAGCAGTGGCTTGAATGATTGGCTGACAGATATCGTTACGAAAGGCGGGGCAGCCGTTTTAAAATGTCGTTGAAGTTTCGACCATATGTTTCAAGATGGGCTCGGATTGAGATAAAATACTATGGTGATAGCTATCATAGAACACAAGATATTTGACAGATGCCTCTGAATCTCGCTTACGACATTTTCAAGATAAGCTTGCATAATATATACAATTATATTATTACTGGTGGTAGGACCTCTTGTGAGTCCGCGCGGGTAGGTACCACCGCCCTGCCTATTTCTGCCGTGAAGCAGTAATGAGTTTCGGTTTGAAGAACTTCGGTATACTGTTACGGTACGTTCTAGATGTCTATGGGCCCCAGTAACCACGTAACATCAGGTGGGCTGTGAGCTCGTCCACCCAGCTAAGCAATAAAAAAAATACAAGTTCCGAACAACAACATTCGGACCGTCGGTCTACCGATAAATAATACCCGCTCGGTGGAAGATCTTTCCCTTGTCGTATACCTCAACAATACTAATGGCCCATGGAAACTTCCGCACAAAATATTCATGATGTACCAAATTCGCTGGAGGCCAATTAAAACTCTGCTTAACGTATGTGGGTTGGAAATGTAAGCCAAAAAAAATTCCAGAAGCGTCCATGTTTTAATTTTACGTCATAAACATAGCAACCGAACTGACCCCGTAGCCAAACAAAAGCAACTCGACCGGAGCTTTTGTTTTTCTTTTCCAAAGGGCTCCCTTCAAAGCTCCCCACGATACCGGACAATTAACATATGTAATTAAACAAAAGCTCCCACATTCACGCAGGGTCAGTTATATGAGCTTATTTGAGTTAAAAATTAGTTCACGGTCGAAAGGCCCTCGTGAGAAGATCGTTATCATTCTCGAGCTGTATTTCTTTAGATCGGCTTCCGATGGTGTTTAAGTTATAAGAGTTCTCTTTCTTACAAATCTATACTTAATATTATAAAGTTGAAGAGTTTGTTTGTTTGAACGCGCTATATTCAGAAACTACTGGTCCGATTTGAAAAATTATTTCAGTGTTAG